ATGCAAAAGAAAAACCATAAAGATGTAGGAATGAGTAAGAGAGCCGTTAACCGAGAGGAGAATAATAAGTTTGCAAATGATAGAGTTTCGTTCGAACAAATATTTGGGCTATTGTGATAACAACAAGAGATTATACAACAGTAGCAATAAAGGCATGAAAAAGCAAATGAGAGTATTGATAAACACTAAAAAAACCATCAAATTGCAACAAAAATTAATGATGCGAGTATGTCTATCGCTAAAAAACAAACAAATAGCGATATAATAGTGTCCGTTGGAACCAATGATGGAATAACAATAAAATAGTAATTGTTTATTAGCAACGGACACTAATTTGTAGCTAAATTATGTGTCAAATCTTCTCGAGAGTTTTAAAGACATTTATCGATGGATTTGTTAGGAAAAATAACGATAAAATTGCTAATCCATCGCTATTGTCAATGTCTAGATTTAGCGATAGATATTTCATCGCTAAAAGAAACATCCTCACAATTTAGTGATAGAAAAGTCTATCACTAAAGGTGAAAAATTGGGCTTACCCAAGGTATCGAATTTGTGGATGAGTACCACAAGGAGATAGAGGTTGCTATGATTCGAGCAAACATGAGCGAGGATAGAGAGGCCATCATGGCTCAATTTCTATAAGGCCTTAATGATGATATTGCTAATATAGTGGAGTTGCAACATTATATGGAGATGGAAGACATAGTGCACATGACCATGAAGGTAGAGAATCATGTTTTACATGCATTCATTGATAAATTTATTATGGTGTATTTTAACGATATCATTATGTACAACAAAAGCTTAGATTGGCATATTAGTCATTTTGTATTGTTCTAAGTGATTTATGTGTTGAAAAATTATATGGTAACCTCAAAAATTTTCTTTTTGCACCGATCAATTTATGTTTCTTGGTTATGTTATGAGTGCAAGAGGTATTGAGGTGAATAACAAAAAGATTAAGGCAATTTATGATTGGTCAATACCTAAGCTAGTTAGTGATGTGGATAGTTTTTATGTTCTTACTAGTTTCTATGGATGTTTAGTTAAAGATTAGCACCATTGCTACACCATTAATTGAAGTTATTAAAAAGAATGTGGCATTCAAATAGGAAAGTTAACATACCGTGGCTTTTGAGTTGATTAAAGAAAAATTAAGTTCCGCCCCATTATTTGTTTTAACCGACTTTACTAAAACTTTTGATATTGAATGTGATGCTTTAGGTATTAGCAATGGAGTTATCTTATTGAAGGAAATGCAACCCATAGCCTATTTAGTGAGAAGCGAAGTGGAGTAACTCTAAATTATCGCACTTATGATAAAAAGATGTATGTATTGATTTGAACTTTAGAGACATGGCAACATTATCTATGGCTTAAGGAGTTTGTCATTCATACATATCACCAGTCTTTGAAACATTTGAAGGGGTAAAGGAAACTAAATAGAAGACATGCCAAATTGGTTGAATTTTTGAGACTTTTCCCGATGTCATCAAGTATATGCAAGGCGAAGAGAGTGTGGTAGCCGATGTATTATCTCGCAAGCATGCCCTTGTTTCTACACTTGATGCAAAGTTGTTAGGATTTGAGCATATTAAGGATTTATATAATAATTATTTTGAATTTGTTAGTTTTTCTAGGGCTTGTGAAAAAAATGCATTTGTAAAATTTTATAGGCATGTAAGATTCTTGTTTAGGGAGAATAGATTATATGTGCCTATGAGTTCCTTAAGAGAGCTTGTTGTAAGAGAAGCACATGAGGGTGGTTTAGTGAGACATTTTGACGTTAGGAAAATTTTAGACACCTTATTTGAGCATTTCTTTTGGCCACACATGAAACAAGATGTTGAATAAGTGTGTGAGAAGTGTATTACATGTAAATAGGCTATGTGTAAGGTTTTACACCATGACCTTTACACATCTTTAACCATACTTAGTACACCTTAGGTTGACTAGTTCATGGATTTTGTGTTCGAGTCACTTAGACAAAAAAAAAAAAAAAAAGGTAGAGATTTTGTTTTGATTGTTGTTGACATGTTTTTTAAGATGGCACATTTCATTCCATACCATAAAACCGATGATGTCAACAACATTACCGACTTGTTCTTTCAAGAGATAGTGTACTTACATAGCATGCCTAGAAGTATTGTTTCGATTGGAATGCTAAGTTCCTAACCTACTTCTAAAAAACATTATGCAATAAGTTGGGTACTAAACTCGCTATTCTTTACTACTTGTCATCAACAAATAGATAGCTAAATAGAGGTAGTTAATCAAATTCTTTTTAATTTGTTACATGCTATCATTAAAAAGAACTTGAAAGCGTGTAGATTTTTTTTTTCCATATTTAGAGTTTGCATGTAACAAAGATGTTAATTCTACTACTAATTACCTCAATTTGAGATTGTAAATGGTTTAAATCCTTTGACTTCATTGGATTTAATGCATTTTCTTATTAGTGAGTATGTTAGCTTAGATGATGAATGTAAGAATAAAATGGTGAAGACATGAGAAAAAGTGATAGAAATTTTCCAAAAGGACTCCCATGGAAACAAAATTCGCAAGAAAGTGGTATTCAAACTAAGAGATTGAGTTTGGGTGCATATGCATAAGGAAAGGTTTTTGGCTCAACAACGTTCTAAGTTACTACCTAGAGGAGATGGACTATTCCAACTGGTTGCAAAGATCAATACCAATGCCCGAAAATTAGATCCGTCGAGTGAGTATAGTATTAGTGCTATATTTAAAGTTTCTACTCTTTCTTCTTTTGATGTAGATGATTATGAAGATTCAGATTCGAGGATGAATTTTTGGGGTTTTAAAAGATTTCTATATTTTTGGGATTAAGGCTTAATTTAGGTTCCTAGGGTTTTTGTTTGTTTTTAACCTATAAAGAGGTTTTGATATGTATGAATTTTGGCGACTTGTATTTTAATAAAAAGTGAGTATTTTTTACCTTGGTTCTTTCAAAAACTTTATAGAACTTGTCGAGGCATTCAAAGGCTTATCACTCTTTTTCTTGCTTGCCTAAGTGAGGCACCTATTCTTTATTTTTGCCTATGATTCAAGTCTTATTTAGACTTAGGCTCGAGGTTTACAACGATCTACAATCCGATCTTAGCTTTTTTTGGGAATGATTCATCTTGTTTGTGAGTTTCTAAATATTTGATTTATGCTTTTCACATCATCTTGGTCAACCTTAGTGCAAAACAAATTTTTTTGGTCTTTATCACTATCTTCAAAGTTGATTAATCTTTCATCTTCTTCATCATCATCACCACTACACCGGCCATCATCATAATCTATATCTACATCAAATTATAAATGACCTTCTTGTTCTTCACTTTTCATGTTTTCACCTTCATATCGTCCTTCATCATCATCAGTCTCATTGTCATTACAATCTTCCTCTAAAAACTCGCCACCATATGAAGAAAATCTAAATCTAGTATAGGAGTATCAATTTCATTATGAGCCTACATTTTTAAAATATTTATTTGATAGATAGTTATGTACAATTTTATAGTCTACTAATCATAATCATCATCCAAAAAATTAAGATGATATATGCGTCCTCATTAGTTTTCTTGTAATGAAGTTCGGATATGTTTAAATATCTAGTTAAATCTACAATGCTTATGATATACTTGATTGACAGATTCTTTGTTTCGATAACATGATCAATTTTGGTAAACTCTAAATACCCAGCTTTTGAATGATATATAAATTTATCCCTATAAAATATTCTCAATATTATCAACATTATGTTGTAACAAAAAAAAAAATTACATTAAAAATAAAATCCTAACTAACATTAACAAGAAGGTCACTAATAAAATATAAAAGACAATAAACCCATCAACTAAGTACCACAATTTTTACACAAAAAATGTAAACAATACCCTTATGGCATCGTAAACTCACTTCATGGAAAACTCAACTATCATAACAAACCTTAAAATATGAAACCCTAACAAAACACTGTCATTTTTCGAGAACCACGTACTTATGCAAAGCCCATACAAAATAGGCAATGTGAGGTCAAACTCTAATATATCAACCCAATATAAATGACCTTTTAAGTTGTAACAATAGCATTGTACCCAACAGTGAAAAAAATCTTGCTTCTGCTTCGTCCACCATGCTTGAACGAGTGCTTCTCAATACCATGCTCAAAACAGCTAAGATTTTCAGAAGAAGATACCATTTAATAAAATTAAAAAAAATCGAAAAGTCGAGTGGCTGAAACTAAAGAAGCAACTTTTGAATTAACAAAAATAAACTTTCTATTAAAAATTAAAATTGAGGGTATAATAAATGCAATTCTTGTTTCCTATTTTTTATGATTTTTCTCAAAATCATTTTTTCACAAAGATTATTGTGGTCAAATGATGCATAGATGTAATTAATTTTTTTTCCAAGACATTGAATCTTATGAAAAGGAACGATAAAATAATAAAAAGCATTGTAATCAAAAGCATTCACTACTGAACAAAAGATTTTCAAATAATAATCGAGTTTTAATCTGAAAAATTTATCACAAATCCTCACTGATTAACTTTCTTGATGTGTCAAAATCACAATTTGTTACGCAGACAAAGAAATCTCACTACTTCATGCCTTAGACATGGTGTGAAACATTTTCTTATTTGGTGAAAAACCTCTCTCTCTCTCTCTCTCTCATCAATTTAGAGATTTCTGATTAAAATTTGAGTTTATAGGCTTTTTTTTTCCATTTGAGAGAGAGATTATTTTACAGGACAGAAAGACTTGATTGTGGATAAAAAAAGATTCGGAATCTAAATTTAAAAAAAAAAAAAGATTTGGAACCTTTCTTGTGTTGACAAAAAACTTAAAATACTTTTTAGCCAATTAGCCTATTTAAAAAATATGGTTTAATATATACATGTATGCGAAGATTGATAAAATAAGTCACTGGAGTGTGAAGGCTCAAACCACGCCACGTATATCTAAAAAGCTCGCAACGAGAGCAACGAATGGCCACCACTCAACTTTCCCTCCAAATCCTCCGCCCTCTCCCGGCCGCCTGCCAAACTTTTGGGCGACAGAGTTATGGTTGGCAATCAAGAAATTTATCCATTAGAACTCGTCAGCAAAACTTGAAATGGGTCTTCAGGCTAAGCCTGATTGACCAGAACCCGCCACAGTCAGAGTCACAAGCAAGTACAAGTGTGGACGTGAAACAGTTGGTGGAGTTCTTGTATGATGATCTTCCACATCTCTTCGATGATCAGGGAATTGATCGGACAGCTTATGATGAGCGTGTGAAATTTAGGGATCCTATCACTAAGCATGATAGTATAAGTGGGTATCTTTTTAACATTGCTCTTTTGAAGAATATCTTCAGGCCTCAGTTCTTCTTGCACTGGGTCAAACAGGTTTGTATTTCTAATTAATCACTTAATGAGATGGTTGCTAATCATTACTTAATATAATATTTATTAAATTTTGGTCATGCATCATCATCATCATCATCATATGTATTTTCTTACTATTAATTGACAATTAAATGTTACGTACTTCTTTGTTTGATGAATGAAAATTTCATCTACCAAAAACCAACTTTCCAGGTTGTTCAAGCCTGCCTTCTACAAAGCACAAAGATTACAGATCTATAGGAATATGACTATAAAAAACAGAAGAATCGAATAACTATCTGCATTGGACCATTAACGGATAAACTTCCTCGCCATGGTTTCTTCTCTTCCTCGCCATTGGACGATTATGAGAACAATTGATAAGAAGCACTTCTTCTGAAGTTATTAATGTTTGGCCCATTGGAATTAAGAAGACCAACTAGCTACACATTTGTCACATTAATAGAAGGAAAAAAATACTTAAATAGAAGAAATGATAATCGCCTTCTTTGCATTATGTCACATTATGTTTCGTCATTACATGCTACTGATTGTATGCCAATCTAATAAGACATTTGTTTCATGCTGATGGGCTGTGAAAACAAAGTAATGTTTGGTCAACTAATGACTACATCAAAAAATCATAGTATAAGTAAAACAATTTTGCTTTTCTTTGAAGAACCAGAAGCCTGTAATCTTGCATGATGACTGATTTAGCTGGTGAGTTTTAGTTGTACATTTTCCTTTGTTCCACATTTTTACTGATGTTTAGCTTCTATTTCAAGCTATTAATTAGAATACTAATAGGTATTTAGCGTGATTTTGAAATCATTTGAAAATATATTAGACAAACACTTCTGAACTTTAGTTTATTTGAAAATCAGTTTTTGAACTTTTAATTTGTGTTTTGAACCTTTTGAATTTATTATTGTTTAGATTTAGTTCATCTCTTATGATTTTCAGCTATCACCCCTCCTCTTAAAAAAAAAAAATCAATTTTTGGTATTTTGATGTGAAGTTTTGCATATACATTGAGAAAAATTCAATCTATCTTCTAAACAATTTCAGAGTTTTTCAAGGTGAGGAATTATATTTATTTATTTATTGAACATTAAAAAGGTAGAAAATTGAAAAAAATAGAAATAACCTAGAATGATTCCAAATTTTTTGGAGAGCTCTAGATAAATTTTACTACATAATATCATGAATCTAGTTATATAATTTTTTTTTTTTTGGGGAATAAATGATAGAAAATTGAAAAATAGACTAAATTTAAAAAAAATAATCAGAAAGATTAAAATACAAATTAAAATTTAGAGAAAGTTTGGTATTTTTAGCCATAATATTAATATTACCATTAATAATAAGACAAAAAAAGCTTCATCTTATTGCCAATTCTGAGATTGCAAAGATTTCATCTGGCTCTGGCTTCGCTAATTGATCCGGTTGCTGTAGACAGGAACTTATGAGATAACTACAAGATGGACTATGGTGATGAAGTTCATGCTTCTGCCATGGAAGCCAGAATTAGTGTTCACAGGAACCTCTGTCATGGGAATCAACCCAAAGACTGGGAAGTTTAGCAGCCATTTGGTAAAGTCCACCTCTCTTCCTGGTGTAAGAAGGATAAATTATGAGACATGGATAAAAATACCAGTGATTATTTGTTAATTAATTCGTAGGACTTCTGGGATTCCATCAAGAATAATAACTATTTTTCGCTTGAAGGTTTGTGGGATGTAGTTAAGCAGGTATGAGTTCTTTACGTATTTGAATTTCCATTATAGTCTAAACTTCGATTCCAATTCTTATTGAGGGCTTACTTCTTACAGTTGAGGATTTACAAGACTCCTGACCTAGAAACCCCCAGATATCAGATACTGAGAAGGACTGCAAACTATGAGGTCAGTCTGCCTTTTCCGGGAGAAACTATTTCTTTGATTATGGATTATGCTTTTACTAATATTATTTGTAAGGAAAAATGTAAGTGAATTATGAATTTCCAGTGAAGATAAAATGCAATGGGAATTCTCAATGGAACCCTTTTAAGTTCCAAAAAGAATAGTTACAACATCATTTCAGGATGCCAGCCTGATACATTCTCAGTAAGTCAGAATTTAAATTTCAAGTTAGTAAGGTGTGCAACAAATTGTATGGCTTGTGAGGAGAAACTAGATGAAAGATTGGTGTGGTAATAGAGGGGGAAAATCAAACTATTTGACCTGGAAAATGTTAAATTGGCAATTCTTCCGCCGAATTCTGTTACTTTGGTTTTTAAGGAATTCACATACTCTAGTTAAGTTTCTTATAGTTACCGATATATAAGTTGTTGCATGAGTGTTTTTTGTTACAATCATGAGTTATAGATTATAAGAGATTATTCATTAGAATTGGAGTACTATTTCTCCTCTTATGTTCCATAGACCATAGGGATCCACAAGATATCTTCATAATTCCCCCCATGAATGTAAGGTGAAGGAGCTAATACACCGAGTGAATTAAATAACTTTCCAGAATTATATGCATGTCAAAGTCGATTAGCACTGGTTAATTATCATAATGATTTTACAGGTACGGAATTACAGCCCATTCATAGTGGTAGAAACTAGTGGAGATAAGTTGTGTGGTTCAACTGGATTTAATGATGTTGCTGGGTGGGTATCTATCATGATCCGATTCAGTTGCCTAATATACCCTTTTTTAGTAATTATTCCAATATGGATATTTGATGCTTATCATTGTAGGTATATTTTTGGAAAGAATTCCATGATGGACAAATTTCCAATGACCACTCCTGTGTTCACTCAAGCAAATGATGCTGGATTGTCCGAAGTATCCATCCAAATAGTTCTTCCATTGGAGAAAGATTTAAGCAGGTGAGCCTCATCATTTCTTCCTGACTCCAAAATTTGAAACTAAAACTTCTAGAAATGGATTCAGTTGATGGCAAGCATCAATTATTAGTGATTTGTTACGCGCTGTCAGATAGGAAGAGATACATTTTAGGGATATATAAATGGTATTCAATACTTCACCCCATAGTAAGTGGTTAAACAACTGTTTTATCTTTTTGACCAGCTTACCAAATCCTAATCAAGAGACAATTAGCGTAAGAAAGGTGGAAGGAGGCATTGCTGCAGTAGCTAAATTCAGTGGGAAACCAACTGAGGATATTGTTATTCAGAAAGAGAAAGCGCTTCGATCATGCCTTGTTGAAGATGGTCTTAAGCCTAAGATGGGTTGTTTGCTTGCTCGCTATAATGATCCTGGCCGAACATGGAGCTCCATAATGGTATGACTTAGTTTCCAGTTATTCTGAGGTTGTTTCAACTATTTCTCTAGTTCAGCTCACTCCTACTATTTTTCTCGGAATCTGAGGTCAGCCATGGCAAAGTTAATAATCAACTAGTGCCTTTTCTGAGTGAATAGAAAATTGAAATAACTTTAGTGGGAGGGTTGTTTACCCTGACATATTGACTTCTATCAGACCAATTATGAAACTAATTAACAGGACGCAGGACAACTAGAAATCTGGTGGCTGCAGCACACTAGAACTGTTTTATACTCTAGAGGTAATCTGCCAAAAGCAGTGTGGAACCAGTAAATCTACGTTTGAACTTAGAATTTATCGTGTTTCTTTTCTGAGATAATCTGTCTCCTTGTTTCCTGATTTCTTGTCAACTTCCAATCCTATAAGTGGCAGTCACCCCCTTCCCAGCTGCCCTCATTAGGACTTGCTTTCTGTTTCCTTATTGAAAGCCAATATTGCTGTGGTCATAATCAACATTTTGATCACTTAAGTCAGTTATTAAGTCAACCTAAAACCTATATGTGAAACCATCTACAATATCACATTATGATTTTCTGTTAACAGTATTTTAGTGCAAATGTGGAGAAAAAAATTTAACCGAAGGTTTTCATTTAGTCTGAACTTTATTGCCTACCATGGATGACACACAAACAATGTTTGATACCATTACGGTTGTTGGAATTCTGAAATTTTTGCTATAGAATTATTGCTTCTGCCTGTACTCCTTTGTTTATTTTATTTATTTACTTTCTTTTACATTTCCTATTCCTTCTTTTCTCTGTTATATATGTTCTGCAATGCGTCCAGCTCTGTTAATGTTGCTTCATTTGATCAGCTGATTAAGATCTAATTGTATCTTACTTGGCAATGGTTGATACGAGTTTCATATGCTAATGTTGCAAACTATTATATATAATATGAGGGAGAACACATGTTTTCTACTGTCACCTAAACTATTGACACAGTCTCTCTCTCTCTTGTGATTGGTTGCATTCAAGAGGAATGAAGTGCTAATATGGCTTGAAGAATTCTCACTGGAATAGAATTACAACAACAGCTGCCATTTACTATCTGTTAGTCATCCTCTCCTCCCCTCCTTGAAGTTCATGAGAGTTAGTTTTGCGAAACTGTAGGCATAACAAAGAGCATTTATTTGTGTAGAAAGCTGTAAAGAGACGAATTATTGTATCTAATTAGGTTTCCTTCAGAACTAGACAGTAGAATGGTGTCAATTCCACTTGGTTGGAAATTGGAATTCTCTTTCTCTAGGTCAGTTGCCAGTTTTCTTTTTTCCTACTTGCTGGAGTAATAGTTTTTTCGCTCTCCTTTTTCTCTAAAAGTTTAAGGCCATCATAAATAATTACCATCGAAGGTCTTAGTTTTAGGCCAAATGTATAATTGATTAACCCTGAGCTTGCTGAAACATAAGTACCAATCGCAGCAACCCTGGATGTTTAGGAAAGTCTGAAACAGTTGGAGCTGCGCTTGAAACTCCTGTCTGAGGAACCAACTTGCATAAAGACGGGACTTAACCCAATTGTATCTGAAAACTGCAGCAGCTGGTTAAGCTGCTCCATGTCTCTACCTTTTGTGACTATTGGCATCTCTCTTACTGCTACTTGTTTATTGCTTGTTGTCGTAACTCCATTTTTTTATCCCCTACAATTATTTAGATTTTTTTTTTTAAATAAATTTCTTTTTATGGTATAGATTTTCCAGGTATATTTATTATTATTATTATTATTATTAGGTTTAGGTTTAGGTTTTGTTTTATTTAATTTTTTATTTAATTTTATTTTAATTTTCTATTCATTATTTTATCATAAATACCAAAAACTAAAAAGGAAAAAAAAAAGAAACAAAAAGAAGAGAATTAATTTCGGATTTTTAAGGTTTTAATTGTAATTAATTTAAAACTTTTGTGGGTCAATTTGGAAATACCGAAATTATAGGGAAAGCAATTGAGAGTAATGGAGAGGGGCAATCAGTGAAAATTAAGACAAGAAAGACTAAAATAATCTAAATAGAGGGGCACAATTGAAGAAAAAGTGAAGGACGGACGAAATTTGAAGAAAAAATGAACGACAAGGACAAACTTAAATGTTTGTCCGGAACGACATGTCTTCTGTCATTCCATTTTCCTTTAAAAATCCCGCCAGCCGCACTGTTCTTCTTCTATAACAAAAATGCAAATCTACATAAAGGGGAAAGGGGAAAAGAAAGACGAAAAAAATAGGGACTGGTTGGATTTTTTGTGTTGTCGACTGCGACCATAGAGCCATGACAGTTGTAATAACTCATTTTTAACACCTCAATTATCATTTTAGAAGTTTTACAAGTTTTTTTAATGCGTAATGTAGGTTTTTCGTCAATTTATTTTTATTAAGGATCCTTTTTATTAGTGTCAAATTTTAGTTCAATTTTTCTTTATCATTTATAAAAAAAATACAAAAAAAAGAAGAAAGAGAAAATAACAAAAAAAGTATTAAAACAAAAATAAAAAATAAAAAGAAAGAAAACATTTGAAAAAAAAAATGGAGTCAATTTCAACTTAATTAAAGGGCCCAATTGAAAAATAATTTAAAAGTTGTGTAGGCCAATTTAGAAATACTAGAAATATTGAAAAGAATTATTAGTAATTGAAGGTCAATTCATAGAAATTAGAACAGAGAGACCAAAATGCTCTAAACGAGAGGAACTTGATTATAGAAAACTTAGAGAACAACGAGATTAAAATAGAAGAAAAGCATGAATATGGAGACTATTTTTAACCCATCAAAATCTCTCAAAAACCATATCTCCTCTCCCTCTCTTAGCTATATTTACATCTTTATCCACATTCACATCTCATGTAACAACCTTATCTCCCACCATTCAAAATAAAAACACAAGACAACAAAATTTGTCTTTAACATCTTTTGATTTCCTCCACTCCTAACTTTGTGACTACAACACATAAAAGAGCATTCAAGGGAGAGAAAGGAAGGAACAAGGTGGAATGTCCTATACTCATCAAAAGGTACGGTATGAGATTAAGAGATGTAAATTTGAGGATGTAGAATGAAACTAGGGTAAGAAAAAAAACCAAGAGAAAAGGGAAAAAAAGAGCTACATTTTAAAGGGGGCTAAGGTTTTTTTAGAGAGAAGAGTAAAAGTAAGAGAGAAAAAAGAAAGAAGGCAAAACCAAAAAGAAAGAGCTTGGAGAGGAAGAAATAAGGAACAAGTGAAAAGAAATTAACAAAACACCATCCAAATAGCTCGATAAGTTTTGAAACAAGCTAATCTATCAACTTCAAGCTTCTTAACGATTTTTGAACTTTAATAGGTAATCTCTTACTTTTTTTACTTCATCCCTTGTCAATATTAATAGGCAAAAATATGTTTGTTTGTCCATTGATGCTAATAGATCTCATAGTCAACCTAAACTCTAATAACTATGGTTGTTGGTTATGTTTTGCGTGTTCGAGACACCTTTATATGTTTTTATTCTTTGAGTTTTCTTTTTTTACAGGAACATCATCTACTTGTCTCCAATCCTTATGTAAAATTTCGGATCTTTAGGATTTAGGATGAGTTCTCATTTAAATCATTTTGTTGATCACTCGTTGTGGTAATCATTCGTGTAAAAAATAACAACTATCATATTTTTAAATGTTTAGCATGGCCTTATGTGTTTTTATGTTCTAAAATTTTTATATGAACACCATATATTTGTCTCTAATCCATGTATCGAACTTCAGATCTTTATGGTGTAGGGTGTCTTTCAATTTAAGTTGTTTTGTTAGCTATTGTAGTATTGATTTTTTAAGCTAAAAATGGCTACCGTTTTGTGTTGCATTTTTGGTACAGACCTTTGATACTTTTAACTTTTGATTTTTTTTGTATGAACATCATCCATTTGTCTATAATCCATGTATGAAATTTTAGAAGTTTAGTATTTAGAATGAGTTCTCATTTAAATTACCTAGTTGGTTACAACAACAGTAATTTCTCAACCAAAAATAGTTTTTGTTATGTTTTGTTTGTTTGAGATAGCCATATATATTTTTGTCTCCCGATGTTTTTGTATGAACATCTTCTATTTATCCTAAATCTTTTTGTAAAATTTTATATTTTTAAAAGATAGGATGGTTATCTATTTAAATCATCTTGTTGGCTAGGGTAGTCGTAACACCCTCAAATCTAGGATCTAAATAAGTCATGATATTACGAGCATTGACTTACATTCAAATTATAATGAATACAAGCCAATAAGCCTCATCTCCTATCATTTTTAGTTCATTAGCGAAAGTGGGCAATTCTTACATTAGGTCCCTAATGAGTATGAGATACTAGGTCTACTTGTACATAACTTATATATATAATGATAAACAGAAAAAAAGGAATCATACTTTAATTTTTATAATTCTATTAGACAATTAAATGATAGAAACATTTGGCACGACTGGAAAGGAAAATGTTACACGATCATGTACGTACATTAATTGAAATATATATTCATAAAGAATCGTCATTATTCCTTAAAAATTAGGAGACTTGACAATTCACCGATCATTAGGTTATTTAAACTAATTATGAAATTAAAAAAATTTGAAATATGCCTTTTTTGTTGTTTATATTTTATTTTTATATAATTTTTTTATCGATAGAGAATCGTCATCAATTCCTAAAAATTAAGAGACTTAACAATTCATCTATCATTTGATTATCTAAACTAATTATGAAAATAAACTTATAATATTAAAATTACCTAAATAAAATTAAAAAAAAAGACTATTAAAATCTAATTTAAACGTAAAATAAGCATGCATAAGTAAACATTCAAAATAATATTATATAAAACAAAATAAAACTAAAAAATATTAGACTTTTTTTTATGGTGGGCTAAGTCGCTAGACAGTGCTACCCATTCCTAGATTTTTGGGTTTAGGTCAGGTCGAAATCACCTAACCTTGGACATGCGTCCAACCCTCATCATTTTCCTTTTT